AAAAAAAAAAAAAAAAAAAAAAAAAAAAAAAAAAAAAAAAAATCAGAAATTTTGAGTAATTTGTTATATAGCAATGAATAATAGCTCAAACATGCAAATAATCATATTAAATATAGTGTAAACACCTCAAATAAAAGGCAGAAATTTTAAAAAAGGATTTTTAAAAAAGTAAAACTCAAGTACATGCTACCTAAAAGAAGTTTGCTTCAAACATAAAAACACAAATAGGATAAAAGTAACACTATGCTGACACTAATCAAAAGCTGGAGTGTCTGCTAATATCATAAAAAGAATATAAACAGGGATAAATTTGTATGCCTCTTTGTCATTTTATTCATTTATGCTTCTCAAATTTTGTTAAATTTTTAGGTGAATAAACATTCAGGATGGTGATGTCCTATTTTATACAACACAATTCTCATGGCTGAATGGACTCCTTTATGTATTTATGCACGTGCGTGCATGTGCCACCACCTATGGAATTCCCCTCAGCATTTTTCTGTTTCTGTCCCCCACGAGGACTGGTCTCACCACTGTCCTATCAAACATGTAGAAAAGGAGGATTAGTGTCTTCTTTCATTCTCTGTGTCCTCTTCCAATGATATATTTAATGTCACTCCATTTTCAGACGCTTGAAATTAAGAGAATGATTAGTAAGCACAATATGAGTGTCTATGAATTAGTGAATCTATTTTTTAAAAACATGGTTGGACAACCGTAAGTGTTATTTGGTAGACATGGAGTCGATTTTAACTCATATTGTCTCAGCTGACTAAGCTCCTGAACCATTTGGAGACAACCAAACATTTTCAATGTACCTATTGTCAGGCAAGTGCAGGACTTTTTAAGTCTGGCTGATGGGATGAGAATCTATTTCCCATATTTTCCTTCCCCTGTAAGTCTTTTCCCCTCTGATCTGGGCCCCCGTGTGATGTGGTATGCTGTGGAATGGCTGTGAGCTCTTTGACCCCTAGAGAGACTCAGCCACACAGGACCACTAAGCTGCATGACTCCAGGGACCAGCATTCGCATATGACATGTGACCACCTGCACAAGGATACAGTACACAGCAGATTTTAGGAGTATAGAATGCTAGACGTTGTGCAATGCAAAGGCCCTGCCACCTTGGCATATGAAGGGGACATTCTATAGAGGAAAAGCCACAAAGCAAAAGAACCAAGCAAAGATGGGACTGACCTGACAATGTGTATAATGGGGTGGCAGCTTTAGGCTCTGTGGTTGGAGCGGGGCCTAATGAATTGCCAGCACCTGATGAACAGAAGAAACCTACATGCTAAGGTCTATGGCGCTATTTACAATGCTCAGTAAAATCAATCATTGAGTATTATTTGAAGGGAAAACAAAGCAGTGACCTCCTGTTAAGGAAACTGCCCCTCACCTGCACAGATGACGCCGGCGTCCTCCAGGTGCCCGCAGTTGTGCCCAGCCTGGCCCCTGTACACACACTGCCCCAGGTGGCTCTCGCTGCCCACACACTGCACATCGTCCAGCAGGATCTTTCCGGAGCCTGCCCCGAAGTGGGCCCCTGTGGGGGCCGCCACCGCCTGGCCACACTGCAGCTGGCGGCACACAACAGCTGCCTCAGGCAGGTCCCAGAGGTCATCGCACACGGTCCCCCACGTGCCCTGGACAAGCACCTCCACGCGGCCTGAGCACCTCCCTGTGCCATTCAACAGCCTCACCTCCACCCAGGCTCCTGGGGAGTCATGAAGAGAAGGGGTATTAGGGGATTAACCTTCTGTGTCAGGAGGTTGCCTTAGTCTTGGTATATTGGGCTGATATCTGCTGATGTCTTCCCTATGACATTATGTCATAGGCGTAGGGATAGTCATAAATGCTACTCCTCACACCTTGTGAGTGGCTACTCACCCCAGGTGCCTTCTTGAGTACGTTACGAGCTTGATCTTATTCGACCGCTACAACTCCCTTGTCGGTTCTGTTATTATGTCCATTTTGCAGATGATGACAGTGGGATTCAGAAAAGCCAAGTTAACTGTCTCAGGGTTAAAGTGGCAATCTGAAATTGGAGTCTGGGTAGTCCAACCCAGTATTCTATACTGCTTTCTTTCTTTCTTTCTTTCTTTCTTTTAAATTTTATTTTGTTGATATACAATGTGGTTGATTATCGTGTCCCATCACCGAAACCTCCCTCCCTCCTCCCCCTCCCCCCTC